AATGTCAATTATAAAAATCCTCCCTTAAAGACGAGACTAAACAGTTTTTTTGCCGCCTTTGATACTATACGACTCAAATATCATGATTCTGACGACGCAGCCTGAAAAGTATGACGACCTCCGTGGCCGAGTGGTTTGTACGCCGGGTTTCATGGTGTCGCCGACTCGAGAGATCCCGGGTTCAAATCCCGGGGGCAGATGTTTGTGTGATGAATACGAGCATTTGTACTCCAGTCATGGATGTTTAATATGTATTTCTATAAAAATGTACTTACATATGTACAGTATATGTATTCTATCCGTTACCCTAGTATCCCATAACACAAGCCTTACAGTGCTTACTTTGGGGCTAGGCTAATTGGTGTGAGTGTTGGTAATATTTATTTATTAATTGTTATAAATAAATAAATCAGTGCATCCATACCGTTGAAACTTCTTTTATTTAATAGAATTTAGTTACAAACTACTAAACCATTTCCTTATAAGCTGTCAAATTCGATTTTGATAATCTGTAACATAACATTGGTGTCGATTCTGGCACGATTCTCTAAATTTAAACTTAAATTTGACAACAGTGTATCCTTGTTATTCTCTATACAGAATGAAAAGGAGAGACTGATGTTAAATTTAGTTTTAAATTTAGGGAATCACGCCAGAATCGACCTCAATGTATTGTTATAATCAAACACACTTGACGTGATTATTTACATGGATTTTTTTTTTAAATAAATAAATAAATATTTCCGACACTCACACCAATTAGCCTAGCCCCAAAGTAAGCACTATAATGCTTGTGTTATGGGATGCTAGGGTAACGGATAGAATACATATACTGTACATATATAAGTATATTTATATAAATACATATTAAACATCCATGACTGGAGTACAAATGCTCGTATTCATCACATTGATAAGTGATAAAGACGTACAAGATACTTTACAAACATCTGCCCCCACCGGGATTCGAACCCGGGACCTCTCGAGTTGGCGACAGCCATGAAACCCGGCGTACAAACCACTCGGCCACGGAGGTCGTCATAGTCGGAATTGGCCTTACTACAATTATTTTGTTTCATTATTTACTTTGCAATCTGCAACCGAACTTTTTGGCTAACAATTACATATATATATATATATATATATATATATATATATATATATATATATAAAAGGATAAGTTTGTAAAATTTGTTTTTGAAAATATATACAGGGTATTATGGCAATATAAGTTATTTACGGGATTGTTACCATGTACCTTGTTTTTAGCGAGTTTCCGATATTTCGGCACTCCGTGATCATGGCGCTTGCAACAGTGCCCAAATATCGGAAACTCGCTAAAAACAAGGTACATGGTAACAATCCCGTAAATAACTTATATCACTATAATGTTAGTTACCATGAAAGTTTAAAACAATACAAGGTATTATGATTATATCAATCCCCTGTTAACCCCCAGTACTTACTTGTTACTAGTAATACGTACAGGGTGATAAAACAGAAAATTACTTTTACAAATGAGATGATAATAATTTACAGTTATAATAGGGATGATGACTAATTTCTTTTTCCTCGTTTATCAGGTAGATTATCAAAAAGTATTGGACACGTATTTTTTCTTTTTTCACATAATATAAACATTGCAGAGATATATTGATTTGAAAAGTCGCATGACGTCACGTTTGAGTACACTTATAAGTGAAAATTCACTCAAAAGTGACGTCACGAGCCCCTACTCCCAAACTTTGACGCGCTATAACTTTGTCATTTTTTGGTTGATTGCCCAAAGAAAAAATACGTGTCCATTATATTTTGATCATCTAACTGACGGACTAAATAGAATTTCGTTTACTGTACCCCGTAATCACCTCTATTCAGCAGAAAATTATGTTGCAGATAACAAAAGGGTTAGGTCACTACTTTTGTAAAATAGTGAAAATACACTGAAGCAATCATTTTGTAACCAATTACTGAACAAGTGTAAGAATTGAGGAGTTCGATGGCGCAAGTGGTTAGCGCGTTCGGCTGCTATCGTTGATGTTAAGTAACTTTCGAAGTGGTCGGTCATTGGATGGGTGACCAAGAATTTACTATCTCGAGCTCCTCCGTGCTTCGGAAGGCACGTTAAGCCGCTGGTCCCGCCTGTATCTGCAGTCGTTAGCACCCGCCAATCGGCACTGCGCCCGCTTGAAGGGTCATGGCCCAATCTCCCTATTTCATCCATAGGGAAGGCCTGTGCCCCAGCAGTGGGGACATTAATAGGCTGATGATGATGTAAGAATTAACAAAACAGTTTCGTCAAGTGTAGTTTCGAACACGAATATCTCTGAATAGAAAAATATTGATTTTCAACAATTAGTTTAACATTTATTTTAATTGACACGTATAGCTTATACGTTTAGGGTTCAAAATTGAAGTTGGGAGAGTTTCGCGAGCTCCGTGTGAAATAAGCACCTGATAGAGAATGGTATTAATTACCGAAGTTGATAGCTACGAGGGGGCCCATCAAACGACACGCATAACATAAACGTATTTACGTGTTTTCATTTAGTTGTACGTTTAAACTGTCATAATAGTTAATCCATAAATTCCATAATAGTATACCTAGTCATTTATTAATTTATCTCAAAGACTTTTCATCGGGGACCTATAGTTTACATAATTCATATTTTTATTGATATTTATAAACATATAAATTTCGCACGTTTCTTACTCTGTTTCCTTTTCATTTCGAAAATTCGTTCGTCCGAAAATAGTTTGACAATTAAATTCTCCAAGCCTACTACTCTAATTCACAAAACTTTCAAACTAAAAGTTGAATTTGACATTAAATTGTTCGAAATTTTAACCTCAAATTGACGAAATGAAAAGTGTTACCTATTCATTTTCATTTTGGAACTTTTGTTTAAATTAAGCCTAGAATAACTGCTAGAGTATTTTTAATCAAGGCTACTTAGCATGAGGAACTTTTTTTAGCATGTTAAATTAACAAAAACACCAATTTTTAATTAATTATTGTATTTTCAATACTTTAAAGTATTAAACGACAAATTTAGATTGACATAAGTTGAAGTTGGAGTTTGAAGGTTGAAGTGCATCAACTCTACAAATTAGTCGGCTAACACTGTCAAAGAAGGTTCTTTTAATGTCATCAAAATTTTTGTAGTAAAGTAATATTATTTCCAAGTACAACGGGTAATCTAAAAAGAGGAGATAAAAGAACTCACAAACATGACTCATTCCATTCCTTCATGAAAATTGTCTGTGATTCCGAACTTTATGTGAGTTTTCGAAAATGAAATAGAGTAGAGTTATTGGCGAAATTTCATTTAAAATTCGTTCGTTACCGAAATTTTGTTTCGGAGAAAGAGAGTAGAGCTCCTGTTATTTCTTTTATTTATTTTACCAACATGTTTCTTTATGATTAGACTTGTTGCAAAGTGATAGTAATATTAGTAGGAATGATTTTCTCTGACACCATTTACTTAAGTCTAAAAGATAAACAAAAAAATAAAAATATTCGACACAGCTAATCAAATATGATCTTTTGGGAGACGGCTGATCATTAATTTTAGTAGTAGATTAGATTTGGGTTTTTACTCATAAAAAAATTCTCGAAAAGTTTAATACTATTTAACGGAAACCTATTAATTGGATAGGTTACCAAAAATCTTCTATCTCGAGTTCCTCCGTGCTTCGAAAGGCACGTTAAGCCGTTGGACCCGGCTGCCTCTGCAGTCGTTAGCACCCGCCAATCCACACTGGGCCCACGTGGTGGGTCACGGCCTAATCTCCTATTCGATCTATAGGGACAGCCTGTACCCCAGCAGTGGGGACATTAGTAGAGAACGGCGGGCTGTTTCCGCAACTCGACACCCATTGCCTATTTTGCGTTGGGATTGGCATCAGTCCTGCCATCCCAGCTCCTCCAGAAAGCCTAGCAGTCCCCGGATGTTGCTGCAGGCTTCTACTAGTGTCCGCGGGCTTCCCATTAGAGAAGTCCTTTGTCTTGCAACGCCTCTGCACTCCAGCAGAACATGGGCGCTCGTCTCCTCCTCCTCCAGGCAGGCTCTGCACAGAGGGCTGTCAGAAATACCTATATTATAAAGGTGTTTGTTGAAGTAGCCGTGACCCGTGAGTATGCCCACGATTTGTTTCAGGGCTTGTCTAGGTAGTCTGATTAACTTACGTGATAGCTGCTGGTTTACCTTAGGAACGGCTTCCCTAGCTTGCCTGCAGTCAGTGTGTTTTGCCCAATATTCAACGTGTTGTCGTTGACAGCGCTCCCTTATTCAGGTTCTCAGCTGTCGATAAGGTATGGGTACAATTGGCTCCGGGCCAATGGCCGTCCTGCTGGACAGACAGTGAGGACATTAATGAAACTATAATTGAACTAACATAATTACGCAGTCAGCGTTGATTTTAAAATTTGTTCAATTTAATTATTCTTACATTCAAAAACTCACCGACAAGTCGATTACTTTGTATCCCAACTTAGTAGTTACTTGCTGGTTATATAACGGTATTATACACTTGCGAAGTATAATGTCAAAGTTTAGTTGACACGTGCAATAAATTAGATTAAGTTGTAACTACATCAGGCGAACTATGTTGTGCTAGCTTGTCAGAAATAGTTGAATCTGGTTTATAACATTCCTAAGTTAAATAAGCTGTTACAAAGAAGCCGACATTGCGTTACTCCATCTTGTGGACATGTCGAAAATGTCTGATATGGTAGCGATTACATTTTTAGTTTTCAAAAAAGGTTAATTTTATTCTTTCATTAGGTTATTAGGGATATGAAAAGTACGTCTGCAAGAAGTCACTCAATTAAAAATAGCAACGCCTTAAATATGGAATTTTTGTTGAAAGTCTCTATAGAATTTCGATTCGTATTAAATAGTATAAATTTGTGTGTAAAAGGTACCGAAAAAATCTTTAAAAAAATCCCCTGATTTTTTCGTCTCGCGAATAGATGGTCGTTTGACTGGATAATCGATATGTTATGCAATTCTACATCCAGGCCCGGATTAAGAGGTGTGGTGGCACTGGGGCACCTCAGCTTCTCCCTCTGGATCGCATCCAGCGCCGAGAGGCTTGAATTGTCGACAACCAGGACCTTTCTTGGTTAAGGCTTTGCGTAGAGATGTAATGAAATGAAATGAAAATGAAAAAATCTTTATTGGCCATCATAACAATAGCATATGACAAAAATAAATGAACTTATTTATCTATAGATGGCCAACCAGGATCCTGCCTCAGTATAAGCTGACATAGGGAGAAAAGAATATATTTCTCTCACCGTGTCGGCGCTGGTATACCGGCAGGACCTGTGCGAGGTCGCTTTAATGGTTCGTAAAACATTTAAAAAACCAAGTAAACACGAAAAACAAAACAAAAAAAGACCCACATCGTCATAGAACATGTATAAGGTATAATATATATTAATATGACGAAAATTATAATTAGTTGTACACTAATAATTAATACATAGATATGTCTATATCATCATCATCATCAGCCTATTAAGGTCCCCACTTTTGGGGCACAGGCCTTCCCTATGGATGGAATAGGGAGATTGAGCTATCTATAACCCACCACGCGGGCCCAGTGCGAATTGGTACGAGTAAATATGTCTGTATAATGTAAATCAACTGTGATGTAGCTTTGTTCTGCATCTTCTATCGCATTTATCACGGGGTTTGTTTAGAGGAATTATTCGGATTAATAACAGCTACTGCTTTTCACTATCGTACATCGCGACAAAAATTTCATCCCCACCATCTTGATGCGTGGCTATCCACAACCTTGCGATTTTGTCCATTTTTTTTACCACATACGACAAAACTGTGGAATACATTGTCACCAGCAGTGTTTCCGGACCAATACGATTTGGAAACCTTCACAAAAAGAGCGTACTCCTTCCTTAAAAGCCGGCATCGCATTTGTGATACTTCTAGTGATCCAGGTGTATAAGGGTGACGGTGATCAAATCACTTACCATGAGGTGGACCATCAGCTCGTATGCCTGTTACAATTAATATATATATGGCAACCCCGACCCACTTACGATATGCGTGATCTGTCGACATTTCAGGCCCCGGGGCCACAGCCACGCCTGCCTTGCTTTAAATCCGGCCCTGTCTACATCCATCTAAGGCATTCATTTTGTTTTGCCGAGGTGGGTGAATGCGTTCAATTTGGGAGAAAAACGCCTGAAGGCATAATCATACCAGAGAGTTGCCGTAGTAGGTTTCACAAATGCATTACAATTTTAGAAGCGATTCATTTTTTGTAGGCTACAGAAAAAATAATCTGTCATACTAGGCATCATCCATGAAATTTATATTATAAAAATGATGTGCCGGAAGAGACCGGATATTTAGCTGTTACGTAATTTGAATCTAAATTTGAAATCTAAATTTTAATTTTAATCCAATATACAAATATTTAAATTGAGAGTTAAGAAATTACTTGTGGAAAAAGCTTACTATACAGTTGACAAATATATGACGGATAAATTTTAAAATAATATTGTAATCCATTTGTATTCCTGTTTTGTTATTTTATTTAATTTTATTTAAATGACCTATCTTGTAATTTGACCTATAATTTAATTTGGCATTATCTTCATTTTGACATGCATTCTAATTTGACATTATGGTAAGGTTTTTGTATATATCCATTATTATTATTATTACTTTCAAAATGTGACTTAGACATCTCATTTATAAAATTATAATTTCTTTTTACATTAATATAAGTACATAATTGACATTGTTAGAATAATGTAATTAATAGTGAACTAAATGTAATAACATTGCATGTCAACAAGACAGAATATGGCTGAACATAATATAATTTGTATACTTGAACACAACACAATATTACCTGTATTCGCAATAAAAATTATTTGAATTTGAATTTAGTTCAATCGTAAGCGGGTATTTGCAGGTTGCGTGTCTGTAGACGCGATACGATAACTTGACTGGCGATGATTTGACAAGCTAGAAGAGGTTGTGGAAAACGATATTCGAGATCTCGCAAATATGAAACAGTGCAAAATTGTAAACAACTTAATTGAACGCATTTTGTCGCTATAAACGCAGGTTTGTCAAAACGTAGGTAACAATGATGAATGAGTTGTGTGAAATAGATCAGTGTATTCATTTGTGAAACCGATGTAGCTATCCCCGGGTCATCGCTCAATGTCTACCCGGGTGTGGTCCGGGTGTGAGGGTCGGTGCACGGATGAAAATATACGAAGTAGTGCCACTTTTGATGTCTGCGTAGTTTTACAATGGGAATGGTCTTTCAATAAGGCAGTATTTTGAAATAAATGATCATGACAATTATTTAATTTTGCCAATAAATTACCAGTTAATTTGAAAGTTTAATGAGTAATATATCAATAGGGTATTTGACAAGTTTTAGAAAACGATCTCACGTTATTTACTAATATTTATGGCGTCCGTAAAAAGTGGATATTTATCATTCTGTTGTGTATTTCAGTAAAAATAAAAAAAACAAAAACTCCATTTTCAAATTGCCGCGAAAATGATTTTCTGCACAATATGGCGTCTTACTAGTGTGTGACGTCACACGACTGTTATTAAAACGTCAAACGATACAATGTAATGTCACTTTAACCGGAAGTTTACTTGCGTGTGACGTCATTTTAGGTTCCGCCAATCCCAAGCGTTTTGGGTCACGTGGCAAAAGATAAGAAAACTATTTTCTGTTTCGTGGGATTTTAGTAAAATTATGAATATTTTTTTGTAAAAATAATAAAAACCCCTGCCAATATTTATTCTAAACACAGATGCTAGCAACTGGTACTTTATTTTTAATACTGTCAAATACCGTATTATGTAGGTGTTATAAACTTATAATAAGTGTTTATCGTGACCACTGTGATGGATTTCGTATAATATCTCACTAGCTTTTTAAAATAGGTACAACATTTTTATTTTTAAGCATTAATTTTCTGCTCTTAAAAGGTGCTTGGAAGATAGGTGCACAATGTTCAAGGGAAACTTGCATAAACCATTTAGAATTATTTCAGCCATGTTTGTCTGAGACAAAGTATGGCAATATTGCATCCTAATTTCTATAACTTTTTGTAAAAAAAAAAATGGTTGCCTGTAAAGTCGGTTTTACGGGCGAAGATTTTACGTGACAACGTCTTTTTCTCGATAGAATATTTATTGATATGAATATAATTAAATTGCACAATAGGAACAAGGAATTGAATGAAAATAAGAATTGCACAAATTTTAACTATAGAAATATATTTTGTTTACTAAAACATTGTACATGTAAACTTAAACTTAACACGAGAGACTCATCGTAACGTTACCGAGCGTTACACTTTTTCATAAGTGACTCCCAGCCGCAACCTAATTTAAGACGTTGTCACGTCAAAAAAAACAATTGGAATAATAAGTTGCAAATAATTGCCAGTTTGAATTATAAATTAATTCTTTATCATTTTATTTCGTTAAAGTAATGTGTATGCTGTTATTGACAACATGATGTTTAAACGTCATAATCATGAAAATTCTCTTTTACATATAAAAAAAATGTATTTTTTTGTAAATGAAATTGTTGTTTTAACAGCTTAAAAAAATGGATGCGTGTAACTTATGTACGCGCGTGAGAAGTTATACTTCTTTAGCATCATTAAAATATTTTTTAATTGCATGCAAATAATTAATAATTACAATAAAATAATAAGAGCACTGGAAAAGGATAGTTAACACAGTCAATTAAGTTCAGTTTTAATTTGAAAAATTAAATAAATATTCAAAATATTCAATTAAAATCACTACTGAATTTAAGTTATTAGTCACTTCACTTCACTTCACTTCACTTCACTTCACTTCACTTCACTTCACTTCACTTCACTTCACTCCACTTCACTTCACTTCACTTCACTTCATTTCATTTCATTTCAATGTCCCGTTCAAATCTGCCCTGTTTGCTTTGTTCAAATCTGCCCCACGGTCACTTGGAAAATAAAATATTACAAATAACGCGCCCGCGGCTAACTTCATTATGTTAAAATTTTGTGTTACAGTGATGAAAATTGCACTCTCATAATTTTTTCATAACGCGGCTAAAGAAGTATAACTTCAAAAACACAGAACGTGATTTCTTATTTAAAGCTTTCTGAAGACATGCTTGGTTATTCTACTTTTTCTGAGGTATCATTTACGCAAATAGCTCCCACATTATTGAAACTAGGGCCTGTATATCGTTTTTTTGGGACGTTAATTCGTTCGTTCTAATTGTAGAGTCTGTGCGGAAAGAGAATGGGCGTGGCGAAAAACGGAACTAACTATAAGATTTTTATTTGGCAATCAAACCCAGTAATCTGTAAAACGTCAATGTTTTGTATTGATACGGATTTGTTTGTTGTTGTGATTTCTTGCGGTTATTTGTATTTAATCATGTCGAAAAGGGGTAAAACCTTACAAATACGGTAGAAAAGCACTACAGCGCCCTCCAATCAAAACCCATTCTCTTTCCGCACAGACTACCAATTTGGGTTTTTTTACGAAAGTCATAAGCATTACTTTAAAAAAAATATCGTACTTGATACTCCGTTGAAGACAAACACGTCTCAAATAGTTCTAAACGGTCTATGCCAGCTTCGCTTTCAGGCTTTGTACTCATCTTCCAATCACCCTGTATTTTATCTAAAGGCTTTCTTTTTAGAAGGAAAGATCAAATTGCCCATGTATCAGACTAGATTACCAGTGTCTTTCGCTATTCGGGCGATATGCTCTGATCGCTACGGAACCAACTTCAATTACCAATTCAATGGTGCCGATTCTGGCATGATTCTCTAAACCTAAACTTAAATTTCACAACACTGGTGTCGATTCTGACGTGATTCTCTAAACTTAAAAGTATATTTAACATCAGTCTCTCCTTTTCATTCTGTATAGAGAGTGACAAGGAAACACTGCTGTCAAATTTAATTTCAGATTTAGAGAACCGTGCCAGAATCGACACCAGTGTATCCTTGTCATTCGCTACACAGAATGAAAAGGAGAGACTGATGTTTAATTTAGTTTTAAGTTTAGAGAATCACGCCAGAATCGACACCAATGTGATCTTTA